ACGGAACCAGAACCGTTAAAATCGACCATTACATCGATTTGACTATTAAGATCTCACGGTCAGAATTTTTTTAGCTAGTTCTAGGCTAGATCGGTTTGGACCGAAACCGTTAACATCCAATAGTCATATTTTTTAAATGAATGGCTTTGAATTGTCTAAGTTGTAGGTTCAGAATTTAAAAAATAAAATAAAATAACTTTTTTTTTTCTATAAATACGTTCCTCCATTTAATTTTTTTCACAAATTCATCATCTTCTTTGAGATGGGATATTATAGTAAACCGGCCGAATAAGCCAGTCTAACGAACGGATCGAGCAAACCAGCCAAATCGTTCTGGTCGAGCAAATACGGAAAGGACGGTCGTGGTCGAACATTAAGAGAACAAGAGTCTCTGGGCATGAAGATAGCTTGAAGAGGGATTCCAGTGCAAGGAGAACAGGTCGATCCCAGACCCGTGGAGGGTCTGGTCGAAGATCGACCTGTCGTACAACTGGTCGTTCGATCGACCACTTCCCAGACTTGGAGTAATCAGCGGACTGACATAGATTTGGTCGAACACTATAAGTATCAAGGAGATCTCATAGGAATCAAACCCCCATGTGCGGAAGACACGTGGCATGACCTGAGTGGCCCATACTGAATAACCTTTTTGACGCACCTCCAGTGTGTGTTGTACTACCGGGCAGGTCGGGCAGCCAGCTCAGCTAATCCGGGCAGCTTCTAAATATAGGGGTGAGCTTTACGATTTTGAGCACGATTTATATTATACTCTTTGAGACCTGAGTTTTGGAGTGATATTGACTTAAGCATTGGAGGCTCTTCACCGGAACATATGAAGGCATATGAAGGCCCAAACATATGAAGGCATTTAGTTCATTGTATTCTTTTAATTATTTCCCGGTCGGGTAATTTGTTCCCAATCTTTGATGTAATGTGTAGGGCGTTAGCCTTGCCAAACCAACTTCAGGGTTTGGAAAAGAATTTTTTTTTTTTTTTTTTTG